TGAACTCCTAGGTAGTCGACCGTGGTTTGAGTCCCAGATCCGGTGGCTTAAACTGACGCCAGGCGTGTGTTCATGTGTGCCCACGATCCTGAGAGGAGAATGGAGGAGAAGGGATTGCGGCATGGCCAGCCCCCCTGGGGGGTGATCTCTCATTTTCTGTCTCTCTGTCTCTCTCTGTCTTTCTGGCAAGCACACGTGCCCTATAGCAAAAACCTCTCCAAAAAAAAAAAAAATCAGGGGTTAAAAAGAGAGATTCATTAGAATCACTTGGGAAGATTTTTCTTTTTTAAAAAGTTATTTATTTTAATTTTATTTATTCGTTCATTTACTTTAATTTGATGAAAGAGAGAGAGAGAAAGCTAGTCACCAGGTTCAGCATTTGAACTATCGTCAGCCATGTGAAACTGTCCAGTGCCTTAAACACCACACCACCTGCTGGCCCTGGGAAGACTTTTCAATTTATACTTATGCCCCAGTCTCTTTTCCCTCCTGTAAAGTGCTGTTCTAGCTTGGGGCTTCATTCTGTCCCACATGAAAGGTTTTCAACATCTTTCTAAATCCTATCCAGCTGAAGGTTGCTGAAGTAAATAAAAAACGATTGAACTGTTTTGTCACAAACTGGTTGAGCAAGTCACTTAACCTTTCCCACCTCAGTATTTCCCTCTGACTTTTTTTTTTTTTTTTGAGAGTTTTTTGCCATAGCTCGCCAGACAGACAGAGAGAGACAGAGAGACAGAAAGCGAGAAATCACCCCCCAGGGGGGATGGTCACGCCACAATCCCTTCTCCTCCTTTCTCCTCTAGGGATCTTGGGCATGCAAGCACATGCATCCCGCGTGAGTTTTAAGCCACTGGGTCCCGGACGTGAACCGTGGTCGGCTACATGGGAGTCCAGTGACATAGCCATTATGCTAACTGTTGGTCCCTCCCTCTGACTTTTAAAACAAAGCTTCCAGTTTTGAAATTCTATGACTGCATGTCTTAAGGCTTCCAAACTCCTCCTAGCATGAAATGACTTGTGATTTCTTGGTTTTCCAAGAACCTATGGAATACCTAATTATATATTGTCCTATATTGCCCTCTAGTAGTTTTTCTATGAAATACATTTCTTAACTATATTTAGTTTAAAATATATTGAAAAGTTTATTTTCAGGGATAGGCAGTGTGTCCTGTACTCAACTTGAATATCCTAGGATAGCTCGGGGTATGTCCTAACTTAATCATTATGTATTTATATTGATTGGTTCAAAGTAATGACATCACTTCATTCAAAGTTCCAGAACTACATTTTACCTCAGTGCTTTCCAATAGAAATATAATGTGAGCCATGAGTGTAATTTAAAATTTTCACTTAAGTGAAGAAGGGTCCAGCAAATGGTGTGCTGCTTAACGGTTCTGGATTCCCACATGACTGACCATGGTTTGAGTCCCAGATCCAGAAGCTTGAAAGTCACTACGGGCTCCTGTGAGAACACCCAAAATCCCAAGAGGAAAATGTAAAAGAAGGGATTGTGGCATGGCCACCCACCGTGGGTGTGGTTTCTCACTTTCACTCTGTCTCTGTCTCTCTTGAGTGAGTGCATGTGGCAAAAATCTAAAAAAAAAAAAAAAATTAAATGGGGCCAGCTTGTGGTCTAGTGGTTAAGGGACCACAGCTTGAATTCACTCACTGCAGTTTGAAAAGCTGGCCCTTGTGCCTGGGTTTCCCAAATCTCAACAGAGTAGCAGGGTGGAGAAATGGAGAAGGGATGGTGGCTGCCTTCCACCGATTGGGGGTTCCCCTCCCACAATCTCTCTGGCCAGAGTACGTACCTTCGGGAATTTTTTTTAAAAGAAAGATGGAATTAATTTAATAATATAAATAACCCAAAACATCCAAAATATAATTTCAACAGATGACAACTTTAAAAAAGAAATTAAGACTGACTAAGGAACAGCGCAGTTATGCACAATTGAACGGCTTCTCAAACCGATCACTTATTTTTTTATTCATATAGTAATACGGAGCAACTTAATAAGTGCTCAGGCTAGCCAGAGGAATGCAAAGATAAATCAGATTCATTGTGGTAAGGGAGACAGATTTGTAAATCACTAGCTATTATAAGCTGTGGTATGTGCTATGCTAGAGATGCACAGAAACCCCGACTTGGAGGCTGAGGGGAGCAGCGAGGTAGGGTCAAATCAAGGAAGGTTGCAGAGGAAGTGACATTTGACCTGGGAACTAGGTGAAAGGAAGCCGGCTGTGGACTAATCAGAGTTGCAGGTTACCAAATCACCAGAACTAGGGAGAGACTCGACTGGGCAGAGACCAAAAGGACGTAGGTGTGCGGAGGAAGGGGCTACGAGGAGGGGAAGAGAGCGGGCAAATTGGCTGGGAGGAACGCGGAGCTCCTTGCTGCGTGACGAAAGCCGGGGAGGGGGGGCGATGCGCCACTTGCACTTCGCACCCGCACAACCCAGACCTGTGCGCCATCAGAGCGGCGTGGCGGCTGGGTCCCTTGGCTGTCCGGACTCCTGAGCATAGGGAGCAACTGGCAAGGTAAGGCGCCCACCCTCGTTCTCATGCGCTCGGGATTCTCCCTCGTCACACCGGGGCCTCAAAACTCAACTTCTCTGCCCAGTGTCTGCGACAAGGGGCTGACGTTTAAAAAGCGTCTAGGGTTGTGCTTGTTTTTAACAGATGCTTGCAGTTTCTCATGGGCTGCCTGGTAAAATGCGCCTGCGGAAACGGTTGCCAGGGCGACAAAGGACTGCTCCCGGAAGTCCTTTGATGCTTCGGTAACAATGAAACGAGTGGACCAATGTGGCACCCCTTCCGGTTTCGTTAGGTCTTGACTCGCTGTTAGTTACCAATGTTACCTTTGACCCCGGAATTGAGGTCTTCCGGGTTCCTCCCTCCCGCAAGATGGCAGCAGCTGAAGACGAGCTACAGCTGCCGCGGCTCCCCGAGCTTTTCGAAACCGGCAGGCAGCTCCTGGACCAGGTGGAAATAGCGACTGAATCCACCAGTTCCCGGATAGTTCAGGATAAAGTTGCCAAGGGATTGGACTGCCTTGAAAAGGCTGCCGAAATGTTATCTCAGCTCAACTTGTTCAGGTATGGGGGAGAGGGTAATAATTGCTGAGAACTAAGGTATTAGGGTTACTAAGGGTGGAGCCATTGCGCCTGGATGGAGGGGAACTTTATGGCTAAGAACCTTCTGTTTCTGCCGCCCACTGCAGTCTTCTGTATATTGTTTATATTCCCCTACCTCTTTTGAGACAATCGATATTTCACTGCTCTGCTCCCTAGTGTCTGCTGATTGCCTAGGCATTGAGTGTAAGCGTTCAGCCACTTTCTTTGAGTGGAACTGGGTGCCGTTCCCCTGCCTCTTCCCTTGGCCCCACTCCCAGCCGAACCCTCCCCTCCCCCTGGAAGCAAGGGCCACAGTTTGAATGCCCAACTAGGCTTCACGGCCTTGTTTTTGCTCTTTCCAGCCCAAATGAAGATTTGGAAGAGATTGCTTCCTCCAACCTGAAGTACCTGATGGTGCCAGCGTTTCAAGGAGCCCTCATTGTGAAACAAGGCAACCCCAGCAAGCGTCTAGATCATTTGCAGCAGGCTCGAGAACACTTTATAAACTTCTTAACTCAATGCCATTTCTATCATGTGGCAGAGTTTGAGCTCCCCAAAAGCAATAACAACTCTGCTGAAAATAATACTGCTAGTTCCTCCATGGCCTATCCTAGCCTGGTTGCTATGGCATCACAAAGACAGGCTAAAATAGAGAGGTGGGTCAATAGCTATAATTTGAGAGCTGCCCAGTAGCAGTGCTATTGGGGATGTGCATGTTTGTTTTTTGGTTTCTGGGTTTGTTTGTATTCTTTTGTTTTTTGTATGTTTTTCTGGAAATGGAGTAGCAGAGTGGTGTGTGTCACTCTCTTGGTTCTTACTGATCATAGGTCCTGGTGGGAGCAAATTCACTGAGTTTTTCAAGAAGCCTTTGTGTTCATTGAGGTGCTCATACCATCAGACTCTTACTATCTTATAGTTGCCATTGGTAGCAGTGTAGTTTAGCAAAGCATCTCCCAGCCTTCTCCAGTCACAACATAATAATATTCATATGGTATAGTAGAGTAAATATTTCTGAAGGGTACAAAATCTCAGTGCTCTAGTCCATTTATGATCCATTGATTGAGAAGCTCTGTTTTATCAGAGTACTGGATTAAATGTATAACATAACATCCTGAGCTAATCTAAGTCCTGGCAGAACTTCATCATGTGACCTTGAAAAAGCTGGTTACTCTCATGTTAAAAAAATATAATGGGTATTCACAGTATCTAGGAACTGTGCTAGGCGCTGGGGAACAAGCTGTATGTGTGTTTGTGTGAATATGGGTGGTCCCTGCCTTGGAGGAGGATAGTCTAGTGAAGAAATAGGCATATGAACAAAACATCAGTATAAAGTGATGGGACTAGCAGTTGGCATAATGGCTATGTCACTGGACTCCCATGTAGTCGACTGTGGTTCGAGTCCTGGACCCGGTGGCTTAAACTCATTCCTGGCGTGTGTGCGTGTGTGCCCAAGATCCCGAGAGGAGAAGGGATTGTGACGTGGCCATCCCCCCTGGGGGGTGATTTCTCGCTTTCTATCTCTCTGTCTCTGTCTGTCTGGCAAGCACACGTGCCCTATAGCAAAAAACCTCTCCAAAAAAAATAAAAATAAAATAAAATAAAAAAATATATAAAGTGATGTCATAGAGGGATGTCCAAAGTATTATGAGAGCAGACAAAAAGGGTGCCTAACCAAAGAGAGAGCATGAGAGACGAGCAGGATCTTTGGAGGGGGTGACTCCAACACTGAGTTATTTAAGGATGAATAGGAATAATATTCTGAGTAAGATGAGAGGAGGGCATTAGCTAGCAGAGGTAATAGTAGTAACAAACCTATAGGGATATTAAAGAAACAGTGCTGGGGTAAGGATGTATGGGAGGAAAAAGGCAATCTAGCATCACGTAATCGTCAGCAATTGTAAGGAGTTAGGTGATGCTGGAACACAAAGGGGGAGGGGAGATGATGCTGAATAATATTGTAGGGCCTCAACCAAGGAGAGCTTGCATGTTAGGAAGGTGAAGGAGCAACCTTGTCACTCAGAAATTGGGAAAGGGTTTGAATCCCCGTTCTACCATTTCATCACACTATGATTTTAAGCAAACTTTCTATTTCGTCTCTTGGTGCCTTAATTTCCCCAGTTGTAAAATTCAGAGAATAATAGGGTTTTTCCTCATAGAGTAGTTATGAGAATTAAGAGAGAAATATATATATATATATATATAACACTTAGCTCAGTGTCTGACACTAAGCACTATTATATATTTGTGGCTAAGAGTATGAACTGTAGAATTAGAGATCTGGTTTGAGTCCCTGCTTTACTATTAAACCATTAGACTTTGGGTAAGTTATTTAACCTCTCAGGTTTCCTCATATGTGAAATCTAAATAATAATGGTTCCTATCTGATAGGATTTAGGAGCATGAATGAGGTGAAGCACAACACAGTATTTGGTACATAGTAAGTATTCCATAAATGTTAGCTGCTATTAGGAAGGCCATACTAAAGAACTTTGGTTGATATCTGGGATCCATTGAAGAGTTTGGTTTCTTTAAAGAGTAGCATGGATATATTTGCATTTTAACTAGCACACTCTGATAGCAGTTAGGAATCACTAAGATTAGACCCAGTTGGGTCAGAGAGGTTATGATGGCTAACTCTGGCAGTGCAGCAGCATAGAAAAGTTATATTCAAGTATGGTTAGTGGATACTGAGTGACAGTGGATGATTTTGAGGATATGGAATTAGATTGACAGGAAGTAGACTTCAGCATCCTGTCCTTCGTAAGAACTTGGGGGCAGCCCATCAGCGTATATATCATAAGTAGTTTGAGTTTGGTATCTAAATAATTATACAGAAACCATAGAGTTACAAAGAAGATTGTGGAAAAGCCACCTGGTTGGAGGGATGAGGAAAAGTACTCAGAATGTAATGGCATTTAAGGTGAGTCTTAAAGTCTTGTTCTTTGTACAGGGGAATTTGAAGGTTAAAAATAGGAATTACAGGGACCAGCAATTGGCATAATAGGTATGTCGCTGGACTCCCATGTAGTCAACCACGGTTCGAGTCCCAGACCCAGTGGCTTAAACTCAGGCCGGGTGCATGTGCATGTGTGCCCAAGATCTCGAGAGGAGAATGGAGGAGAAGGGATTGCAGCGTGGTCACCCCCTCCCCAGGGTGGGGGGGGGGCTGATTTCTCACTTTCTGGTCTCTGTCTTTCTTGCAAGCACACATGCCCTATAGCCAAAACCTCTCTAGATTTTCCTGAGTGCAAAAGTAACAATGTTCATGGTAGAAAGTTTGCAAAATAAAAGAATATTTTTAAATGAAAAATAAGCCTTAATCTTAGCACTTAGATGATCCTTGTTAACCTTCTGATGTATTTCCCTTTGATCATATTTATTTTAGTTAATAAGTTTGGAATACTGTACAAATAGTTCTTTATTTTTTTTTACCTAGCATATTGTGAGCATTTCCCCATGTCTTTTGAAATGGTGATGTTTATTGGTTGTGTAATATTCTGTCCTGTAGTTTTACCATAATGATTTAAAATAATCCGTTGTTGTCAGATAGACTATTTATGGTCTTTTTGCCATTCCAAGTTAAAGCTATGGACAGAATCCTTAACTGCATCCGTCATTGTTTCCTTAGGGCCCGTGACTGGGTCATATTATTTGAGCACTTTAAGACTCTCCATACGTGAGACCAGCAGTTAACGTAATGGCTATGTTGCTGGACTCCCATGTAGTCAACCGCGGTTCAAGTCCCAGACCCGGTGGCTTAAACTCACGCCCAGCATGTGTGCATGCGTGCCCAAGATACTGAGAGGAGAATGGAGGAAAAGGGATTACAGTGTGGCCATCCCCCCCAGGGGGTGATTTCTCGCTTTCTGTCTCTCTGTCTCCCTATGTCTTTCTGGAGAGCGCATGCACCCTAGTATGCCACCTCACTAATCTTGGATATTAACACTTAGAAAATCCAACTGGGTAAACTAAAAATGTATCTTATTATTTTGATTGCACTTTTTGGGCCTGTAAGCTTGATCACTGAATTTTTTTAAAAAGTATTATTTAATTGTATTCATTATTATTATTAGAGAGAGTTTTTGGCTATAGGGTGTGTGCACTCACCAGATACACAAAGAGAGACAGAAAGTGAGAAATTGCCCCCCCCCCCCCGGGGATTGCCTCTCAGCAGTCTCTTCTCTTGGGATCTGGAGCATTCGTGCACATATGCCTGGGGTGAGTTTGAAGCCACCACATCCAGGACTCTAATGTGGTTGACTAGGAGTCCAGCAATGTAACCATTACACCATCTGGTAATCTCATCATTATTATTTTTCAGTTTGACCAGAGATACAAGGAAAGTTAGAAGGCAAGCTACCAGGTCTGGGACTCAAACCGCAGTCAGCCATGTGGGAATCCAGTACCTCAACCACCACACCACCTGCGAGCCCCAAATATATTTTTTTAAGAGAGATTTTTGCTATAGGGCATGTGTGCTCACCAGAGAGAGAGGGAGGGAGGGAGGAGGAGAGAGAGAGAGACAGTCCAGGCTGGATGGCCATGCTGCCATCCCTTCTTCTCCATTCTCCTCTTGGGATCTTGGGCACATATGCACATACACCCAGTGTGAGTTTTAAGCTACTGGGTCCAGGACTAGAATCATGGTCGACTATGTAGGAGTCCAGTGATGTAACTATTTACACCAGGTCTGGGACTAGAACCGTGGTCCAACTATGTGGGAGTCCAGTGACATAACCCAAATATTTGGTCTCCCGAATATGTTTTTAAGAGAGTTTTTGCTATAGGGTGCATGCGCTTGTGGAGAGACAGAGAGAGAGAAAGCAAGAAATCACCTCCCAGGGGGAAGGACCCTTGTCTATTCTCCTCTCAGGACTTTGGGCATGCACGCACATGCACTTGGTGTGAGTTCTAAGTCACCTGGTCTGGGACTCAAACCACAGCTGACTATGTGGAAGTCCAGTGATGTAACCATTATGCCATTTGCTGGTCCCTGAATATTTTTTTTAATGTCTGACAGATAAGATATTAACACTGCCTTTATGCTACTAACTTCCATATTCATGTCACTAGCTGAGACCCTTCTTGACCTTCAAACCCATGTGTCCAGGACTCGGTGTGGGTTGTTTCACAGACATCTCAAACTTAGCATGCCTTAACCTGACCCCAGATGTGTCCCCACTCCCAAGTCTTTACCATTTCAGTAAGTGTACCACCATTCACCCAAGTATTTAAGCCAAAACCTAGGAGTTAGCTTCAACTTCTTCCTTTTTCTGATTTTCCGTATCTAGTCCATCAGTGATACCTGTCAATTCTAGCTATAAAAGATTTCTTCTATCATTCTGTATCTCTCCATTTCCACTGTCTTATCACAGGCACCTCTCACTTGAGATGGTCCTGCACAATCTGGTCCTGCCTCTTGTTCCAGTCTCATTGTATATCATTCTCCCCTTGTTCACTAGACTCCAGCGACTGTGATCTTTCAGTTCCTTGAACAGACCCAGCTCCTCCCCTCTAGAATCTTTGCACATGCTACGCTCTTTGCATGGAATGTTTTTTTAAGTATTTAACTTCTACTTTTGTCTCTTTTTGCCCCATGTTTGTTTCCTTCTTGGCACTTATTTCATCTGTATTTGTTTCTGGATTCTGTTTCACT